AAAAAAAAAAAAAAAAAAAAAAAAAAAAAAAAAAAAAAAAAAAAAAAAAAAAAAAAAAAAAAAAAAAAAAAAAAAAAAAAAAAAAAAAAAAAAAAAAAAAAAAAAAAAAAAAAAAAAAAAAAAAAAAAAAAAAAAAAAAAAAAAAAAAAAAAAAAAAAAAAAAAAAAAAAAAAAAAAAAAAAAAAAAAAAAAAAAAAAAAAAAAAAAAAAAAAAAAAAAAAAAAAAAAAAAAAAAAAAAAAAAAAAAAAAAAAAAAAAAAAAAAAAAAAAAAAAAAAAAAAAAAAAAAAAAAAAAAAAAAAAAAAAAAAAAAAAAAAAAAAAAAAAAAAAAAAAAAAAAAAAAAAAAAAAAAAAAAAAAAAAAAAAAAAAAAAAAAAAAAAAAAAAAAAAAAAAAAAAAAAAAAAAAAAAAAAAAAAAAAAAAAAAAAAAAAAAAAAAAAAAAAAAAAAAAAAAAAAAAAAAAAAAAAAAAAAAAAAAAAAAAAAAAAAAAAAAAAAAAAAAAAAAAAAAAAAAAAAAAAAAAAAAAAAAAAAAAAAAAAAAAAAAAAAAAAAAAAAAAAAAAAAAAAAAAAAAAAAAAAAAAAAAAAAAAAAAAAAAAAAAAAAAAAAAAAAAAAAAAAAAAAAAAAAAAAAAAAAAAAAAAAAAAAAAAAAAAAAAAAAAAAAAAAAAAAAAAAAAAAAAAAAAAAAAAAAAAAAAAAAAAAAAAAAAAAAAAAAAAAAAAAAAAAAAAAAAAAAAAAAAAAAAAAAAAAAAAAAAAAAAAAAAAAAAAAAAAAAAAAAAAGAAAAAAAAAAAAAAAAAAAAAAAAAAAAAAAAAAAAAAAAAAAAAAAAAAAAAAAAAAAAAAAAAAAAAAAAAAAAAAAAAAAAAAAAAAAAAAAAAAAAAAAAAAAAAAAAAAAAAAAAAAAAAAAAAAAAAAAAAAAAAAAAAAAAAAAAAAAAAAAAAAAAAAAAAAAAAAAAAAAAAAAAAAAAAAAAAAAAAAAAAAAAAAAAAAAAAAAAAAAAAAAAAAAAAAAAAAAAAAAAAAAGAGGAAAAAAAAAAAAAAAAAAAAAAAAAAAAAAAAAAAAAAAAAAAAAAGAAAAAAAAAAAATGAGCAGATTACGGAACACTATGTATGTATCTTTTTTCGCAGCAATAGATCTCCAGTATCTGGGAGTTTTTTCATGCTGTCGTAACTTCTCAATCATGCCCAGAAACACCTTCAAGTGTAAAATTTAAGCAGAAATAGCTCATCAATATGCAAATAATAAATTGTGTTAGATCAGGCGGCCTAGAGCTTGATATATATCAAACAACACGCTGTGACTGCACTCAGCCGAAATGTCAAATCCAAAATCAAAGACACAGGCTTTAGATCTGACCCAAATTAACAATTTCCCGGGATGAAAAGTGTTTACAGAACAAATATAGTAACACACATGGGTCTATAATGACTTTTGTGTTTGGTGCGTTCACCCGGGGCGCCCCCCGCTGCGCAGCCATGTTGGAGGCGTTAAGTGACATTTGAAATACATAAAAATGGAAAGCTGACGTGGCTCCGGTCTGATATTTTACGGATGTCAACAGAATAACATTCAAGAGAAAAGTTGCGCCGTGTGTGTGTTATTTATTGAGCAATTATGATCTCAGTGGGCCGCGTTCCAAAACAAAAGGCAAAATTAACATAAATAACAATAATGAAAAAGTAAAGTTCTGAATCGCTAATATTGTTGCTAGCCGCGGTTAGGTTCCGCTTGACAGCTGGAGCTGGTAGGCGGGGTTTCCAATCTTACCGCACAGTGATTGGCTGACATCAGTAGGAGCCCCACCTACCAACTCACCATGACGTGTAGGTGGCACTACCCCCTTAGGAGTTGCTGAAGTTTTGGGTCCTCCTATAGTCCTGCACAGCCAGGCAACGCACATTTTCACAAACTTGCATCCAGGAGTCAGTGACCAGTCCTTCAGCTTTGTTTTTGTAATTTTATTAGGGGAATTGAACTTGGATGGGGTAAGGGGTGTACACGATGCCCAAAAGAACTGAGGAACCGAGGACAACTTCCTGAACTTTGCACCGGGACCAGTGTCACAGTGTCAGAAATTAGACAGTCCCCCTCACATGGAACCCCCATATGGTCATTGGGAACAGTACTCCTCAGTTGCATACTCAGGTCCTACCTTCCCTCGTACCATTGTATCCCTACATGTTCATCCATGGTTCCTCATAACGTGATCTTTATGTGATAATCTTCCTTCCCCGTAGGATAACGTGTTTCTATGTATTCATTGATGTATATGTTAATGGACTGTCCTACGCTTGTTTTTTTTTTTTATGTCTCTGAAATTAATAAAAAGTTTGAACAAGAAGAAATAAGACAGTCCCAGGTGGTGGTTAATCTGGTTTCCCACCAGAGTGCCTCCTTCCCCTACCGGGCTCAGGGGGTGCAGGTCTACTCACTCAGTCCTTCTCCTGTGTTGCTGATGGGTCGGTGGCTGCTACCAGGCATTTTAGCTGGGCCGATCCTTCCCTGCTACACAGGTGGTCCTCACTCAGGGAGCCGGTGAAGTCTCAAGCTTTCCTCCTTCCAAGGTCCTCTGCCCGTAGGTGAAACCCCTCTCCATCTGGGCCCCCTCTGTCAGCACCTGTGGTGGTGAGCTCTTATTGATCCTCAACTCGAGGTTCCCCAGGGCGTGGAGTCTAAGCCCCAGCCTGCTTCTTCAACAGAGCCCCTGATGGTGGGGATGGACTTGCAGCAAGCTGGGACCAGGTCACAGCCCCCAGGTATGCCCAGCTGAGGTAGAGACTGCTAGTGTGAGCAGAGTATAATGGGTGGAGACTAATGGAATCCAATAGTCAAGCCGAGGTCAGGACAGGCTCAAGCTTTCCTCCTTACAAGGTCCTCTGCCTGTAGGTGAAACCCCTCTCCATCTGGGCCCCCTCTGTCAGCACCTGTGGTAGTGAGCTCTTATTGATCCTCAACTCGAGGTTCCCCAGGGCACGGAGTCTAAGCCCCAGCCTGCTTCTTCACCAGAGCCCCTGATGGTGGGGATGGACTTGCAGCAAGCTGGGACCAGGTCACAGCCCCCAGGTATGCCCAGCTGAGGTAGAGACCGCTAGCGTGAGCAGAGTATAATGGGAGGAGACCAAACGGAATCCAATAGTCAAGCCGAGGTCAGGACAGGCAGAAGAAAACAAGCAAAGTCAGAGAATGAAGCCGGGGTCTGTACACGAGTAATCACTGTAGGATTCAGACAGTAGTAACACACGGGAGCTCCGACAACTAGGAAGTTGATCAGGCAAAGTGGCCTAGTCTGAGCATGTCTTATATAGACAGGAAAACAAGGAGGCGGGACAGGAAGTGATGGAAGGGAAGGAAATAAAACCCAGAGGACAGCAGACGACGCCCATAGAGGAGCACAGACAAACATATGAGAAGGGATCAGGAACAGGACTGCAACAAGGAGGTAAGAACACAAACAAGAAACTGCAGGCTAACTTGTGACCCCCCTCCCAGGCTCCTGCCCCCAGTCTCACATCTTCTCCATCCCCCCACCCAAACTCTCCTCCAACTCTCCACCAGCTGAGCAGGCTCAGTTACTCTTAAAGACTGTCCTGGCCCCTTGCTAAGTCTCCTGCTGGGGATTGTCCAGGATCCTCTAAGAATATAGACCATCCACTCCTCGAATCCGCTTGCTACTTCTAGATCTTTTTCCCGATTGGAGACGGCGTGGTGCGCTGTGGAGTCTCTAGCACCTTAGGGAGTGGTGTAGGGTCACAACGTCTTCAATAAAGGGGTGAAGGCAGGAATAAACTTCTCACCCACCCTCCCTGTTTTTGTTTGGGGACTTCCTGTTCCTTGTCTTTCAATGCACTTGGGCGGTTTGTTGGTTTTTGAAAGCTGCAAAATTTGAAGTTAAAGTGAATGGTTGGGACCCATCGGTGGTATGGAGTCCATGGGTGCATTCCGGTTAACCAAGGTTTAACTGGAAGGTGGAGGTAGTGCACTGTGGATGGCGTGTTTTGTCTCCGAGGCGGTGGGTTGCGGCTGGAGGCTCATTATTACTATGATGGTTCAGGTTCCGCTAGTGATAACGGTATTGGTTTTGTGCCTTCGAAGACCAAGAACTTTCACTTTTATGTTTCTGTTTGAAGGAATTTGTTTTGTGTTATTTAACTTGAATTAATAATGAAGAAAGGCTGCGGTGGCCATTATACTCCAATTTTAGGTTTGGTCTCCTTTATTTGTATAAGTAAAAGTTGGGGGGGGGCTGAGTGGAGAAGATGTCTTAGCTATTGTTTTAGCTTGGGGGACATCTATTCTACACTAGTCATGTAGTACCATCCCAGATCCCAAATGCTCCTCTACCTGGCAGCCTAGAGGAATCCCTGAGCACAGGGATCCAGTGTCACTTTGAGAAATAAGACAGTCCCAGGTGGTGGTTATTCTGGTTTCGCACCAGAGTGCCTTCCCCTACCTGGCTCAGGGGGTGCAGGCCTACTCACTCAGTCTTTCTCCTGTGTTGCTGATTGGTCGGTGGCTGCTACCAGGACTTTTAGTTGGGCCACTCCTTCCCTGCCTCACAGGTGGTCCTTCCTCAAGTCTCGAGCTTTCCTCCTTCCAAGGTCCTCTGCCTGTAGGTGAACCCCCTCTCCATCTGGGCCCCCTCCCAGGCTCCTACCTTCAGCCTCACATCCTCTCCATCTTCCACCCAAAACTCTCCTCCAGCTGATCAGGCTCAGTTACTCTTAAAGAAAGTCCTGGCCCCTTGCCAAGCCTCCTGCTGGGGATTGGCCAGGATCCTCTAAGAATACAGACCAGCCACTCCTCAAATCCGCCCTCTGCTTCTAGATCTTTCTCCACAGTTCTAGATTTACAGGGGTTTCAAACTGCTGGCCCTCCAGCTGTTGCGAGACTACAAGTCCTATCATGCCTCTGCCTTTGGGAGTCATGCTTGTAACTGTCAATCTTGCAATGCCTCAAGGTACTTGTAGTTTGGCAACACTTGGAGGGCCGCCAGTTTGACACTTGTATATCTAGAACAGGGGTATCAAACTGCAGTCCTCCAGCTGTTGCAGAACTACAAATCCCATGAGGCATTGCAAGGCTGACAGTTACAAGAGTGGCTCCCAAAGGCAGAGGCATGATGGGAATTGTAATTCCTCAACAGCTAGAGGGCCGCAGTTTGACACCTGTGATCTAGAACATGGGGAATTTCCAGAGGGATGGTCTGCAGAGCCTCTCAGCTCTGACCAAAATTTGACCCCTGCTAGCTATCACACCCAGGCTGGTGCTCAGTCCTCCTAGCTAACAATTGAACTAGAGCTCCCCCTAGCTAACTAGGAGGGTGCTACAAGTAATTCACTGCTTCTTGTTGGTGACAGCTCAGTCACAGTTCTGGAATGCATCCTAGAACAAGAGAGCGATGCATCTATAGGATGGCTGAGCACCAAGACCCACTTGCCCTGCCACTGCAGTTATATGTAACTTCCTAATGGGCTAAAGGCGTTTCGAGGCTTCACTTCATTAGTTTCAGTGAGTGATAGAGAAGAAACTCCGGCATTTATAATTCACCTTAATCCAATCACCGTGGAGGTAGATGTGGATTGTCTAGGAAGAGGACAGAGGTGTGAAAGTGTGAGAGGGTGACAGAGGTGAGTGACATACTGTATATTGCTTGTTATAAATCTCCATGCCAGCAGCTTCACAACAATCCACAGTATTGTCTATTTAACTCGAAAGATTAACACCTGTTGCAGACTTTCTGGCACCAAGGGGTTGAAGATGTCATCAGAACAAGAGGTTTCCAAACATTTACACAACCCATCTTGTTCTTGGAAAATTAGGCTAACAGACCAATGGTTCATGTGGGCCGGTTTGCTCAGTGAGGTAGTAAAGTAACCCCAGGGACCACTGAACAGAATACACAGAAAGTCCCATCAGGTTATGGTGTGAGGATCCAACATCATGTGACATAATTGACCTCATAATATTGAGGGACATCTAAGGGGAACATATATGAGGTGGCCTCAAAAAGTGAATGTGAGTTAGGGACCGTAGATTGTACGCTCCTCGGGGGCGGGGACTGATGTGAATGTACAATATATATGTAAAGGGATGCGTAAATTGACGGCGCTATATAAATAAAAACAAGTGTATTGTGTCAAAGTAACAAATTGTGATAAAACTGCCACCTGCATTGGAAACTCGGGCACTGCCTGAGGGCCCGGGGTCAGTAAGGGGCCCCATGAGAAGCCCTTGGTACCTTTTTCATAGGCTTTTTTGAGTTTGGACAAGGACACAGGGGCCCCATGATCCCCTATTGCCCGGGGGGCCCCATGAGTTGTCAGTCCGCCCCTGGCCACCTGCAACTGGAATTGGACCAGAGTTGCCATTGTTATGAAATTTGAGGATGAATTGTTGCACAGTTCCTACAGCTATAGAGGTCAGTGAGGGCTTTTTTTGAAAAACCCGTTGAAGTTTCAGTTTTCATCAGCTGAATATATTCCAGATATATCAAAACAAAAGACTTTAAAGGTTATTTTATTTGGAAAGCAGCCACAGCCTGAACAGCAGAGTCTGTCCCCTGCCAGCATGCTACAGAATTGGACCTTTGCTGTCTGTGTGGAAGCAGTGGTGTCTCTACAGGGATCCAACATGCCCACTTCAGTTAGCAGAGCTCACACTCCTTGATGACTGGAAAGCTCTCCACATACGTTTTGTTTTCTCCAGGCTTCAGGACTACTTACCGCTGTAGGAGAGAAGCAGAGGACCTCACTTGTCAATGGACAGAAGATAGTGGAAAAGCAGTATATATACTCAGGGGCGGACTGACAACTCATGGGGGCCCCCGGGCAATAGGGGATCATGGGGCTCCTGTATCCTCGCCCACACTCAAACCACACCCAAAAAAGCCTATGAAAGTTACCAAGGGCATCTCTTGGGGCCCCTTACTGACCCCGGGCCCTCGGGCAGTGCCCGAGTTTCCGAATGGTCAGTCCGCCCCTGTATATACTATATACTGTATACTATATGTAGCACTACCCCTTTAGGAGTTGCTGAAGATTTGGGTCCCCCTATAGTCCTGCACAGCCAAGAAACACACATTTTTTCACAGACTGGAGACAGTAAACAGTCCTTGAGCTTGATATTTAAGTTTCATTGGGGTATTGAACTTGGATGGGGTTGAGGGGTGTATAGGATGCCCATGGGAACTGCAACTAAGGACAACTCCTTAGCAACTATATACAAGTCTCTATACAGCAAAAAGGGTTTCTTCCTGGAGGGCTCTTCAGCCTCTCCTGATATACCACCCCAGACCCCAGGTGATTCCTCTCCTCATCCAGCTGTACTGGGTGAATCCCTGGGAAAGGGGACCCAGAGTCTGTCTCTTTAGAGCAAACAGTCCCAGATGGAGGCTAGTCAGGTTTCCCACCAAAATGCTCTTTCCCCTTATCTGGCCCAGGGAGTGTAAGAGTACTCACTCATCCTCTCCTGTGACCTTGTTGGGTTGGAGGCTGCCTTCAGGCTTTCTGCTAGGCTTGCTCCTTCCCTGCTGCTAAGGTGGTCCTCTCTCAAGGGACTCCTGAGGTTGAGAGATCCTCTTTAAAAGCAACTCTGCTTGGAGGTAGGCCCTTTCCCACTGGGCCCCCTCCCAGCCTCTCACTTCATCTTCCACCCAAACTCTCCTGCTGCTGAGCAGACTCAGTCATACTTAAGGGCTGTCCTGACCCCATGCCAAGCATCCTACCTGGGGATTGGTCAGAATACCATAAGTATGCAGATCAGCCCCTCCTCACGCCTGCCCACTGAGTTCTAGAGACCTCTCCAAGTCTCCAGATCAGAGGGAGGTATCAGGGAAATGATCTGCAGAGCCCACAGCCCTGACCTAAATGTGACCCTACTGACTCATGCCCAGGCTGCTATTCAGCCTTTTTACCTAAAAAAATGTATCTAGCCATACTTGGCACTGCATATATTAACTATTTTTTTAATGAACTAGTGATGGGGGGATGCCCGAGTTTGACTTTGGCAACCAAGATTTCACAGTGCCCTTTTTCCTTTAAAGCTGAACTGTATCTGAGCACCATGAACTGAAATTGCTAATGAATTAATTTTTTATATTCAGAGCAACCTCCCCCCCCCCATCCCCCATACATCCTCATCTCCATGCTTTGTTCAGCTGAGAAATCACTTTGAAACCCCCGACACAACCTAGAATTTCTAGCCGTGGCCATCTTGAGTAAGGGCAGATGATTTATGCAACATTTACTTCCTGGAATCCGTCTGCCCTTAACTTAGGCATGCAGGCAGGAGCATGTGCTTAGTGGAGAAAGCCCCTCCTCCCATAAAGACTCCTGAGATCATTTTGCCCTAGGTAAGAAACCAGGAAGCAAATGAGGAAATGTAAAAAAATCCCCAAAAAAACATAAAATAAGTAAATGACTTTGGCAACCAATATTTCACAATGCCCTTTTTCCTTTAAAGCTGAACTCAATTGTATCTGAGCACCACGAACTGAAATTGCTATTTGTGACTGGAGTCACTTTGGGTGGGGGGCCCATGGAACACAGCTCACTTCGGAGAGGTGGGGAGACCCCTGTCTCAGCTCCCCATATCCCTCTTATGTGTAAGTCACCCTGTGCCTGTTAGGGGTGCCGGTAGAAATGTCCTAATATTAGGGTGGAGGGTTGTTGATTGTTTAATGGCATGTGGTTGCATTCCATTGTTCTATTGTGTGTCTTGCTTGAGAGCAAACTATTATGGGATGTATGTGTTTGTGTATTGGCTTGGTGGGGGGTGTCTCCAGCAGCCCTCCCTCCTTATGGGACTGTCTGCTGGTGTGTCTCTGGTTTCTAAAGGTAGTCTATTTCCTGGTTTTACTTCAAGAGTGGTGTCTGTGGTCAGTGTTCGGACTGGGAAGCGGGAGTCTAATGGAAATACCCAAGTGCAGCCAGGGTCCAGTTCCGTTACACTATTAAATTCATTTTTAATATTCAAAGCAATTATTCAAAGCAACCCCCCATTCCCCATTCATCCTTGTCTCCATGCTGAGAAATCACTTTGAACACCCCCCCCCCCCCCCACCACCACCACCACCTAGCATTTCTAGCTGTGGCCATCTTGAGTAAATTGAGTTGATTCGTGCAACATTTACTTCCTGGAATCCATCTGCCCTTAGCTTAGGCATGCAGGCAGGAGGGTGTGCTTAGTTGAGAAAGCCCCTCCTCCATGTTACAAATAAAAGCATAAAACAATAAATATAATCCACGTTCCTATCTATTCTCTAATGCCGGCAGAATAGGAATTAATAATAGTTCATGTGGGTGGAGAGAGTTCAGTTTGGCTTTAAGAACATTAAGCTGCAAATGACGGAACCAATCGGCTGTGAGGAGGCGGTGAGCATGGAACTCCTCGCCGGAGAACTTCTTTAATACTTAAACCTCCTTCCAGATACTTATTGTCTTAAATAGCCGACACAAATTGCTGCAACATCACAGCTGTTTGCGGAGGCCATCGACGAGGAGGGAATTATTTTGGCAAGTGGAGCGGCAGACAAATTATCTGTGCATCAGTCTTCCTTCGCATCCCAGCCTTGCATAAGTAGCTTGTTCCATTTTCACCGCCTGGCCGTCCGCGGCCGTTGTATATAATGCATGACGCCTCCCCGGGCTCGCTCTGCCAAATCAGCACATTGGGGAGGCTTGGCTTGCATAAAAAAAAAAAAGAAGAGGAAAACTTCTTTGGTTGAAAAATTCCTCAAGGTGATATTAAACTGTTTCCTCATGGGCAGACTGCCACTTCTTAAAATATCCCTTCAGGGACAATGTAATCCACCTCTACTGCCACTGGAAGGTCCTTGAGCAGCTGTTGCTAGTGCTGACTTGGTGCCGGCTTTTCATTCCGGTTGCCATGTTGCCACGGGGATGAACCATCTGATCTCTCTGAATGTGCCCTTGCAACTTGTGAGAGCCAAACTTCTCTCTGGATCTTCGTCATGTGCAGCCGTTTGCTGAGGAAACATAAAAATAGGCTGTTTGCGTGCGTTATTGCATGCTACATGCATCTCTTCCTCTCCTTTTACCATGTACGGTGGAGGTAATGAGATTTAAAGGGTCAGTCCACCCAAAAATTATATTTTATTTATTGTTTGAAATCAGGATTTGTAAAACAGCACTGACAGACAGTACAGCCAGGTTGGTGACTTTGCTTTTCCTCCACCGCAATACAGCTTGGTCGCCACTCCGCCCCTAGCCTGTTATTGGACAACGAAGGACCAACAGAAGACTGATGAGGTCATACTAGCCAAAAAGTAATCTGGTATAACCTAGGGCAGGGGTGTCAAACTGGTGGCCCTCCAGCTGTCGCGAATCTACAAGTCCCATCATGCCTCTGCCTTTAGGAGTCATGCTTGTAACTGTCAGCCGTGCAATGCCTCATGGGACTTGTAGTTCTGAAGCAGGGGTGTCAAACTGGTGGCCCTCCAGCTGTTGCGAATCTACAAGTCCCATCATGCCTCTGTCTTTAGGAGTCATACTTGTAATTGTCAGCCGTGCAATGCCTCATGGGACTTGTAGTTCTGAAGCAGGGGTGTCAAACTGGTGGCCCTCCAGCTGTTGCGAATCTACAATTCCCATCATGCCTCTGCCTTTGGGAGTCATGCTTGTAACTGTCAGCCGTGCAATGCCTCATGGGACTTGTAGTTCTGAAGCAGGGATGTCAAACTGGTGGCCCTCCAGCTGTTGCATATCTACAAGTCCCATCATGCCTCTGCCTTTGGGAGTCATGCTTGTAACTGTCAGCCGTGCAATGCCTCATGGGACTTGTAGTTCTGAAGCAGGGGTGTCTAATTGGCGGCCATCCAGCTGTTGTGAAACTGCAAGTCCCATCATGCCTCTGCCTTTGGGAGTCATGCTTGTAACTGTCAATCTTGCAATGCCTCATGGTGCTTGTAGTTTGGCAACAGCTGGAGGGCCACCAGTTTGACACCCCTGTAAATCTAGAACTTTGGAGAAAGATCTAGAAGCAGTGGGCGAATTCAAGGAGTGGCTGGTCTGTATTCTTAAGGGATCCTGGCCAATCCCCAGCAGGAGGCTTGGCAAGAGGCCAGGACAGTCTTTAAGAGTAACTGAGCCTGATCAGCTGGAGGAGAGTTGGAGGAGAGTTTGGGTGGAAGTTGGAGAGGATGTGAGGCTGGAAGTAGGAGCCTGGAAGGGGGACCAGATGGAGAGGGGGTTCACCTACAGGCATTGGAAGGAGGAAAGCTCAAAACTTCACAGGCCCCCTTCACAGGCATCCCTGTTTTTTCTAATAAACGTAACGTATACCTTACATTTGATGGGATTTTTAAGGAAACCTTGGAATGTAAGTAAACCAAACACATTTTTTTAATAGAAAGAGTTTTGACATTTTATTGATACATCAAATGCATATTTCCCAATACAAAAACAATTCTTGACAACATATTAGCTTGACAATACTTGTATTGTTGCCTTGAAAAATTAGCGGTATCTCTTGAAGTTGATTTCCATCTTGTAACCTCAATTGAGGAAACTACAAATGCATTCAGCCGATAACCAACGCGTTTCGAATACTTTAGTGCAGATTCTTCCTCAGGGAAAGGATACCGCTCACCAAAATTGGTCAACCTGAAAATGCTCTGCTGTGTTTTGGAGAGTGAGTCCCCCCAAAATATATAGGATGAGATGATCGCTTGACATGCAGAACCCGAAGGTGCCTTGTAGAAGAAATTTTTGGTATTTACCATGTGCATATAAGGACACGGTACTGTAGTAGTTGAGCCTTGAAAAATCTATGGTTCAGACTGTCTACCATCAAGGGGTCCAGGGCAAAGCGTGGTACTTGTAGTAACACCTGGGACTGAACACCACTGAACAGCTTGAGGTCATCACTCTCCATTCTCCATCTGTCATCATATTCCTGTGACTTCCTATTGGTTGTAGACACTTTCTCTACCAGAATTTCTGACTCTTTTCCTGTCCACTTGGGAGTTTTGTGTGTCCCCACTGACCTTTGTGTGTCCCATATCTTCCTCTTATAATCTACAAAATATATATAAAATAAACCCAATCCTCAATCCAGGAAATCTTACTACTATGGTGCCCCCTGGTAGGACATGGACTCACCCAGGCTGTAAAGTGTAAATATCAGTTGACCTTCACCAGAATACCCTGCCAAGGATGATGGCTCGGAACCCTAGTGACCCCCCGGTTTTCTCTGCTGCAAACTGGCACCAGATTATCGCCTCTGGGATTGAACCAACAGGGGGTGGCAGGAGGGGCTACAGTGTGGGGACAGCGGATGAGGTAGGAGGCTACAGAATAGTCAGATCCAAGCAGTAATTGAGACAGGCTGCTACCAGAGAGTATTTAGGTACATGCAGGGTCAAGGACGGCAGCAAACAGATCGGGTCAAGAAAAAGTAGGCAGTAGACAGGGCAGTACATTGTAGAGTAGTCATGTTCAAGCAGGGATCAAGGCAGGCAGCAAGCAGACCAGGTTTAAAAACAAGTAGGGCATAGACAAGACAGTAGATTAGAGAGTAGTCAGACTCAAGCAGGGGGTCTCGGCAGACGGCAAGCAGAGGATGGTCAAGCAGACCAAGTTGGCAATGAGTAGACAGTAGAAAAGGCAGTAGATGAGAGAGTAGTCAGAATCAAGCAGGGGTCAAGGCAGGCAGCAAGCAGACCAGGTCAAAAACAAGTAGGCAGTAGACAAGGCAGAAGATGAGAGAGTAGTCAGACTCAAGCAGGGGGTCTTGGCAGATGGCAAGCAGAGGGTGGCCAAGCAGACTGAGTTGGCAATGAGCAGACAGTGGAGAAGGCAGTAGATGAGAGAGTAGTCAGGTTCAGGCAGTGGTCAAGGCAGGCAGCAAGGAAAGAACAGTGGGTTCAGGAACAGCAACAATCAGGCAATAGCAGGCATCAGTATTATAGTTCTCACTGTAATAGCGCCAGCTACTAACTGATTGTCGGCTTCCCCAGCGGACGCTCAGGTATGAAGTTCAACATTAAGATTAAGCCAGACAAGAAGCTTTCATCTCCAAATCAAAGGGCCTCCTAGCTTAGTGAAGCATTTTGAGATGGGAATTTCTTATGACTACATATATGAATTCTCTATTATATACAATCATTCTTGATGTCCTGGAGGACCTGAAGCAAACACCCATTTTATCCTTTTTTTAAAAAAATTGCCTTGGTCACTCCGAAGTAGCAGTCAGGGATCACAAGTCTCGGAGCCACTGTAGACCATGTATTTGTGAGCGTGTAGGCAGGTGCAGTCAGCTGGTTTGTCACTAGGTGGCTCTGTGCTAGAATAGTGTCTGATTACATCAGATAGTGTCATCAGGTGCTAGGCCCTTTTTGGGTAGAGCCCTCCTGCAGTGATGTCATGGGTGCGTCAGGTCCCAGTTATAAACCAGGTTGGGATGAGCCCTAGTGCACTTGGGGCATTGGAGCCAAGCAACCCACACCAGCATGGATGTAACCTGTGCATGGAGGCCCTGCACAGGGCAGAAGGCTGGGGAACAGTTAACCTGCACCCAGGGCACCCAGATGTATACTTTATGACCCTTTTGGAGGTGGGAGCTAGAGAGGATTGCAAAAGGCCAGGCCAAGAGTTCCCTGAGTGAGGCTATCCCCCTGAAGGGTCCTGAGAGAGGTGTACCTATGGAGGAGATGTCTACAGACAGCTCACTCCTGTGAGTACTAATGATCCCAAGTGGATGAAAAGACTTTTAAAGGGGGAATTGCTGCATATGCTTTCACACGTGACTACTGCAGACCCTCCACTAAATGGGATTGAGTATGAAATGTCAAGTGACTCTGGAATGTCGATGTGATGTGACTGTTGTGTCATTCCCTAAATTCCATCAGTAAAGTGCATCAAATCTACTCATATGGTGAACATTCCTTCCCTGGGATATAAAGGTCAACGGTCGGGAATGTCACGTGGAGGCCTCTGGCATTGAGTGGGGCACTATATGGCAGAGGGTTTGGCCTCAGAAAGAGAGGTAGTATTCTAGCAGGACAGGAGCGAGGATAGGGACCTGTGCTCTTGGTGCCATTACTAGCCAATCACAAAGTCCCTCTTAGAAGTGTTTTTTGAGTTTTACTTAGCATTGTTGAATCCCAACGGAAACCAACAGTGTCTACTCCTTCTTCCAAAGTTTTAAACCACCTGAAATAAATGTCTCAGCATAAAAATAAAAGGTGCCAAATGTTTAGTTTAGTGCAGATTCCAGAAACGTCAGCGCATTTTGTATCATGACAAAGAGAAAATTAGAATCTCCTCACTCGGTTTTCAGGCTCTTTGAAATGTGTGACAGCCAACAAAGGGATCTCATCGGGACGGTCTGACATATACGTCGGAGAGACTTTGATCAGTGCCAACACAGTAATTAACGTGTTCGGTATATTTCTCACTTCTGGCTTCCCATCCAACTGAGTATGTAAAAGGGGAACGCAACGTTGTTTCTCCATTCATTTTTTTCTTCTATTAGAAAAGATTCCAGAAAAGGACAATTTCCATCTACTCCAGCCACATGGCATAACCCCAGATTCAGAAGGACAACACCACTTCAGGGGTCTGCCATTCCAGGTATGTCAGTTTTTACAAACGGCAGGTCCATTGGTCCAGCTTGGACCAATGTACGTATATACTGTATATTATACCCGTGGGATCTCTGTGGATGTTGGAAATAATTGTAGTAAACACCGCTACCATGCTGCTACTACAGTGATCTCCACTAGCTTCCAGGTCCGATGACAAGCTGCTGTCGCGTACCTGATGGGAGACTGAAACTACGAGAACGGCCTCACTTGTGTCACTAGCCCTGACCCCGCTGGAGTTGGAACAGAGGGAGTCTAGGACCCAGGGGAACAAGAGTGCCAGTAGTTGTTGTTTGCAGCTCTTGCAGATGATGACCTTGGAAGGCTGATGATCCTCTGATTTTGGCACAGTAGTAGTAGGTAGAGCAGGTTTTGTAGATTGCCAGGCGTGCACCAGAGCAAGGCAGGTAGTGAGGACAAGAGACAGGAGCAGTGTCATGGAATAGCCGGGGTCATCAACAGTCGGGCAGCACGGTACAGAATCAGACGGAAAGCCAAGGTCAGGAGCCGAAGTCAGGAACCAGAATCAGGAGAGCAATCAGAGTCAGGTGAGGAACAAGCCGGGTCAGCAACAAAGGAATCATACAGGAACAAGCAGGACACGGGGAGCTGAAGACCAGTCAGCACTGAACATGAGCAGAGGCACTCCTTAAATAGGCCGTCTGGCTCCAATCTTCGCCGTGCGCATACCTGCTCCTGCGGGAATTCCTATGCGCATGCGCATTTCTGATCGCGATTCTTCTTGCCGGAAATCCCTTACAGCTGCTGCCCTGCTGCTTACTGAACACGGAAGACTGCCCACTCAGCAGGGGACCATTCAGAGAACACTTTGAATTCCCTCAATAAATGCAAGGTGTTCTTTGATTGGATGAGGTGGATGTTATGACATCACCACCTTGCCGATCCACCTCGCCCAACCAGTGAACACTTTGCATGCATTGTGAAAATCAAAGCTTTCTATAAATGGTGCCCTTGCCAAGCAAGCAGCCTTCTGTGTTCACAATGCAACAGGCCAGCCACTCGGCATGGGACCTGGAAGCTGGTGGAGATCACTGGAGTAGTGGTGTAGTAGTGGTGCCTACTACAGCGGTTTCCTCTTCTGCAGCTATCTCACAAGTATGACGCATACATATTAACAGAGGTGTAGCTTGAAGTTTGTGGACCCACTGCAAAATTTGATCTGGGACCCCTCCACTACCACCTGGAGTGGTCGAGTCCTCTGACTTCCAGGTTCACATACAAGCCACCCACTGCTTTCACCTGGTAGCTCAAACTTTGGCCTCCCTGCCCCCACCTTGCACAGTTGAGCGGGGCTGTACTGGGCTGGGCAAGGGTTGCTGAGCAGAAAGTGAGCCACTGGGAGAA